AATCTGCCTTCCCTTCTATCTATCCCCGGCTTCCTTATCACCTTCCCATGCAATTTTCCTGTAAGGCAGGATAGATTCCTATACCCCATTTCCTGTATATCTTATTTCCCAGTTGCATGTGAAAACAAAATTTTTTTAACTTTTATTTTTAAAATTTGGGGTTCCAAATTTTTTTCCTTCCTCTCCACCCTCATTGAGAAGGCAAGCAACTCAATATAAGTTATACATGTGTAGTCATGCAAATCCCTTCTATAGTAGTCATGTTGTAAAAAACTAAGTATATTTCCCTTCATCCTATCCCAACCCCCATTTATTCTATTCTCTCTTTTGACCCTGCCCCTCTTTAGAAGTGTTTGCTTCCCCCAATATGCTCTCCCCTCTATCATCGTCCTGCTCTCTTGCCCCCTTCCCCTTTATTTTCTGTAGGGTAAGATAGATTTCCATACCCAATTGAGTGTGTATGTTCTTCTCTCTTTAAGCAAAATCTGATGAGAATAAGATTCACTCGTTTCCTCTCACCTTCCCTCTGTTTCCCCTCCACTGTAAAAGCCTTTTCTTGTCTGTTTTATGTGAGATAATTTACCCCATTCTACCTCTCCCTTTCTCCTTCTCCCAGTATAATGCTCTCTCACCCTTTAATTTTATTCTCCAGATATCACCCCTTCATCTTCAACTCACCCTGTGCCCTCTATTTATCTATCTGTATGTGTGTATATGTATATATATATACATATGTGCGTATATATATACATATATATACATATAAATATATATATATACACACACATACACACACATGCATATAATTTTTTTCCCTGCAACTACTCTAATACTGACAAAGGACTCATGAGTTACAAATATCATTTTTCCATGCAGAATGTAAGCAATTCAACATTAATAAGTACCTTATGATTTCTCTTTCCTGTTCACCTCTTCACACTTCTCTTGAGTCTTGTATTTGAAAGTCAAATTTTCTGTTCAGCTCTGGTCTTTTCATCAAGAATACTTGAAAGTCCTCTATTTCCCTGAATGTCCATTTTTTTCCCCCTAAAGGCTTATACACAGTTTTGCTGGGTAGGTAGGTGATTCTTGGTTGTAATCCTATCTCCTTTGGCCTCCAGAATATTATTTTCCAAGCCCTCTGATCCCTCAATGTAGAAGTTGCTAAATCTTGTGTTATCCTGATTGTGTTTCCACAATATTTGAATTGTTTCTTTCTGGCTGCTGGCAATATTTTCTCCTTGACCTGGGAACTCTGGAATTTGCTACAATATTCCCAGGAGTTTTCCTTTGGGGATCTCTTTCAAGACTGAAAGACTGAAATTCTCTGAAGTTTCAGGTGAACCATGGGTTCCCAATTTAATGTTCTTATAGCTCTGTTTTTTATACAAATAACACCACAAAATTTGTACTGGTTTTAACTACAGTGAACTAGTTAATGAAAAAAAAAAACATAAGAAGTTGTGTCAGGCCTTACTAAATTGTGTCAAGTCTTATCTCTAGCCAGCTTTAACAGCATTACCTAGGGAACCTCTGCATGACTTAGAACCAGGAAAGTGGACTACTAGGAGGAAACACCTTTCCAGAATTGCCCTGACAATGAGACCTATTCCAAAATCTCCAACAGAAGATCTTTCAAAGGACCAGACAAGTGTGCAGGATAGCAAAGACCCAAAATGAAATATGCTGCCTAAATGGATAATTGGATTGGGTTACCAAGAACCAGATGGATCAAGGAGACCTCATATGATCTAACATTGATGAGCATTCTTGTATTGCTCTTGATTTAAAGTTTCATATTCATGGTTGCCTACAGAGGTGTATGTCCAAATTCTAATACAGACATGTGCATTCATAAGTGTGGGATCAAAGAGAAGTTTTGCAGACTTCTCTATGATCAAAACAGCAAAAATTGTGATGACACCTGTTTATTTGCTGTTCCCTTCCATTAATTTTTTATTTTTATTTATTTATTGTATTTATCTATTATTTTATTCTAGGTTCAGGGTCATTCCTTCTGCAACTTTTGGTTACCTGAAGACCAAAACCTGACTCATGGTATAATAATAATAAGGTAAAACAATAACAGCCACGTTGCATGATGACTAATATTGATAAACTTAACCCTTCTCAGCAATACAAGGATCTACGACATTCCCAGAGGCCTCGTGGTGGAAAATTCTATCCACATCCAAAGAAAGAACTATGGAAGTTGAATTGCTATCGTTTTTTTCTCTTCTGTTGAGTTTTTGTTCCTCTTTCTAATAGTTCCTCCAATTAGTTTTAATTTTTACTTATAACTCCACTAATGTGAAAATATGTTTAATAGGAATGTAAATGTATGGCCTATATGACATTGTGTGCCGTCTTGGGGAGGGGGGTGGGGAGGAAGGGGGAGAAAATTTTTAAACTCAAAAGCATGTGGAAGTGATTGTTGATAAATCAAAATAAATTAATAAAATTTTTTAAAAAACAAATAAAAATAATAATAATAATAAGGTAAAACTGCTTGACATTCCCCAGATTGAAGCCATGAGACAGCCAAGGTAATGGAACTTATTTAAAGAATCCCAAATGTCCCAACTCCTTGGTTATCTTGGCAACATATAAATCCCTTCCTGCTAAATCTGTAGCTTAATCTGTAACCTGACTTAGTTTACCAGCAGGACCTGTTTAACTAGGCTTGTTTCCTTGGGGGATGGATGAGATTGTGAATCTGCTTAACTAAATTTTTTTCTACTTCTGTGACACTGAAGGAAGTGTAGGACTATAATCTGCCTTTTTTTTTTTACCTTTGTAGCCTAAGAGGATGGTGAGATTGTAATACATAAAAGAATTAGTTCTCTGTCTCTCTGATGCAATTTTGTCTATAAAAAGTCTCTAAATTCTAATCAGGGGTCAGGTTTGTTTGGTTTTTTCTGCCTCTTTAACCTGTGTGTAAGCATGATGACACCTCTATGATTTCTACATTGGCAGTAGTTACCTGCTACAAGAACTCAAAATGTAGATATCACCCCCATAACCCTTCAAAGGCCTCAATTCCTTTAAAACTCCATTCCAGTGATGCCCCTACAGAAAGCCTTTCCTGATCTCTTCCTCAGCGACTGGTACCTCTCCCACCCACACCAAAAGAAAAAAAATACATTGTACCCATTTTATACATATTCTACACACACACATGGGTAACTGCTAGGTCCTTCTTTAAGAGTAAACTCCTGGAGGGCAGACTCTTCCTCTTAATCTTTGGTACCACTGGGACTTAGTACAGGGCTGACTGATCTATGGATTTGACCCTATTAAATTTCTTCTCATTACTGTCAGTTCCAACCCAAGTCCCAAGAGCAAACAAGCTTTTGCAGGCAATGTCTTCATGCCCAAGAGGGAGAACCATTGCTCCCCGACCTTCCAAATCCTAACCCCAGCTTGGGTGATGTTTTGAAGCTCTTCAAGCACTTTCCTGCTGAGTGTATGAGCAGTACCACAGAGAAGGCCCACCCTGCTTATGCAGTCTGAGGGCCTGGGTTTGAAGACTGGGTTGGTCAGATGTACCTTGGTCAAGTCACTTGCCTTCTTCAGGTCCAAGATTCCTTTAGATAGGAGTAGGGAACTCCAAAGTGCCTTGCAGCCCAATTCTATGAGCCTGTCCAGAGCCTTGCTAGGAATCAGAGCTGAAAGGGACTTTTGAATGAGAAAGCCTTTCTCCAGTGTCATCCATCATTTGCCAGAAGAGCTTCACTGAGAAAAAAAAACCTCTCAGGCACTCCCCACCCTCCCCCACCCTGCCTTCCTTCATAGCTTGGTCCACACTGGGAAGCTCTCAGTAGCAGAAAGCTTTTCCAAACATGGAACCTTATTTCACCTTTTCACAACATCCCTCACTGCTCCCAGCTCTTCCCTCTAGGGCCCAAAGGAACAGTTATAATTGTCTTCCATTGAATGACAGAAGATGGCTTGATAGCTGTATGCCTCCCTCCACCATTGAGAAAGTGGGGTTCCTAGAGGTTAGGTGACACACGGCAGGTGTCAGAGGCAGGGAGTGCTGGCAATGTGCTATTAGAGCCTCCGGGAAGCTCAGGTAGGTCTTCAGGTGCTTAAGCAATATTGGATGAGCAGGGAGGAGGAGGAAGGAGAGGAGGGGGAGGAGAAGGAGGAGGAGGCCAGACAGCAGCGCTGGGTGGCTCTCAGTTTGCCCCACTTGCAATAGCTCTAGCAGCCGCACAAAATCAAACAAAAATTAGAGAATGAAAGTCATCATCCCAATGCCTGGAGCCACAGCTGTTAAGGGACAGGCCAGGCCCTCTCAGGACCAAAGGGGGCTCCCAGACTTTGGCCACAGCAAAATGTGGTGGAATACTTTGTTCCCCAACACGAAAACAAAAAGCTAGTCAGGAATATTGGCAGTCCTGAGTGTGCTTTCACGGGCTTCAGACAAGATTCCGTCAGAGACCCCCGAATTGCATTGAACTGGTTAAAGAAAGGGGTACTTGTGCCGTGTTGGGGGCGGGGTGTGAATCTTTAGGATCCTTGGGGAAGAGACTTCTGAGAGGTGATTGCTAGTAACCTGATGTCAGGAGAAACCTGGGTTCGACTTCGGAGATACTCGGTAGCTGTGTGACTCAGGGTAACCTACTTCACTTGATGGTGCCTCAGTTTCCTCATCTGGGAATGTGGGAGCCTGCCTGCTTGGTTCCCCCATCCCCATCATGGGAGTGTCATGAGGAGCAAGAGAGACCTGGAGCGCGGAAAGTGGAGCGACATTGACGAGCTGTTTGTTCCAAAGGCAGGCAGGAGGTTTGCCCAGACTTCCTCCCCCCACTCCCCCAGCCAAGCCTTACTTCTGGGCCCCTCGGGAGCAAGCCGCAAGAAACAAGGATGGTTCTGGAAAGGCGGTGCTGGTGCGGGCCCCTGTAATGTAGCTGAGAAGCGGAGGCGGAGGCAGCTGAGGGCTGGAGCCTCTGACAAGTGGACCGACACCACGTGACTCTTCCCTGCCCCACTCCCCATCAGCCTGGGGATGCCGGAGCCTGCAAACAGCTGTCCGGGAGCCGCCCTGATCCCATCGCTCGCTGGGCCGGGAAGGAGGCGCCTGCAGCTGGAACTCCCCTGCACCCAGGAAGGTGAGGAGAGCAATGGTCCGTGGCTGGAGCCCTTCTTTGAGCGGGGTTATTTGGGGGTCACCCCAGAGCGTTCTGTCTCGCATTCTTTTCCCTCTGCTGGGGAAAGTGTTTGGGAGGAAGGCAGTGGGCGTTAGGGCCCACTGGCCCTATGGCCCTATGCCCCACTGGTAAATGACGATACAGAAAAGAGCTGGAGGAGGGAGGGTTGGCGGGGGTAAGCTCCATCCCCCTGCCTCCAGGACCCCACCTACCCACGTGCCCCTCTAATCTCAGCAGTCTTTAGACGTTCTCCCTAGTCGGCTTGGCAATGCTTACCTGCATGTAGAGCATCTGTTGTTCCTGAATTAGACTTAGGTCTATCCCACATCCCTCATGCGGCAACATGAGCTCACTTCCTTGGGTTCTGGGCTCTGGGGACATGAAGATCAGCTGTCCCCCATGGGCCCTGTAAAGGCTGGGTGGTTAGGCAGGCATCACCTCCCCTGCCCTCCGTATTGTCCTGAAGGGCAGATAATGAACCGATCCAACTGCCCTTAGACCACCAAGGAAGGTGGAAGAAATCAGCTCCCAGACATGACTTTGGGGAAGCTGGGACCCCTGCTTTCTCCCTCCTGATTTCCTACTACAGGTGGATGGAACACAAGACAGAGCTAGGTGCTGCCCGAAGCCACTGGGCTGACAGAAGAGGCTCCTTGGGATCCTTGGCTGCCCAAGGGGTAGGCAAGCTCTCCTCTCTTTTCCTCCACGGACATGGCACTCCGCTTTTCCATACACAAATAAGAAACCTGCTTGGTTTTCTCCTCTCCTCAACCACCCCCAAATCTCCAGGGCTCCCTGACTCTACTCGTGCTGCTCTTCAGCATTGGGTGCTTCCTGGGGCTCAGGCTTCTGAGCTGTTGGTGCAGCCCACAGGACCTTAGGTCTGGAGGGGGCCAGCAAGGTGGAGAACTGGTACGGAGCCAATAAGCCCTGCCCTGAGCACAGGGTTGGGGGTGGCCATCCAAGCCTCTTTCTTTATCTGTTTGTCCTTCCTCTTCCTTCACTTCACTGTCTCCTTTTCCCTGTCCTTTCTTGGTCCTCATCTCTCCCTTGCTGTCTACTACATTCATGTTCCTTTAAGAGGAGGTCTGATTGCATTAGGCCCCTCCCAGTCCTGCAATTCCGGCCCTGCCCCCCATGGGGAGAGAGGCCAGCACCAGGTAGAGAAGCCACAAGTGGACGAGAGGTTTGGACAGAAGGAGAAGGGAGGCAGAGTCTTTGGGAGAGACCAAGCACCATTGGGGCTAGGGAGATAGAGTCATAGGTCCTCAGTGTGTAATGTGCCTTAGATACTATCTACTCTAACCTCATTTATTTTATAGAGGGGCAGCCTGTGGCCCTGGGAGGGGAAGAGTCTTGCCGACATTCATAGGGGCTATAAAAAGCAGAGTCAGGATTTGAACCCAGGTCCTCTGACATAAGAAGAACTTCAAACGAGAGGTCTCTGAAAATGCACTAAGCTGCCTTTGGAGGGGTAGCACATCCACTAGGGGCCTCCAAAAGACCCAGAGGTAGAGAGGGAAGGAGGAAGGTCCTTCCTAGCTACTGTTCACCACAACCCAGGAACATTGGCTAACTGCCTCCCATGGTCTGGGCACTGAAGAGGCAAAGATGCTGCTTGGCTCATGGTACTTATGTCCATGCTCAGGAATTCACTGGGGTTCTACCCAGGGGACACAGTGCACTTTACAGACTGGTAGACAAGGTCTCTGAGATCACCTCCACCTCAGACCTTCTGAGATTTAGTGTTGTCGGATGCAGGCTTCTCTACTCGGCCGCAGATGGGGTCAGCTAGAGTAGGACTTCCTCAAAGAACATTATTAAGTCGTTGATGAGGCCCTGGGAGATGGAGTGGACAGACAGCTCAGAGAGCAAATGGAAAAAAAAAAAAACTGAGGACCTGGGTGGGAGCCCCTTGAGCAAGGTCCAAAGGAGCTGGGGTAGCCAGGGGACTTAGAAAGAAGTTCCTGAAAGATGGAGCTTAAGCTTTCTTTGACACCATGCTGGGCAAGGGGGAAGCATGAAAACTACTCCTCAGTTTACTTGTTTTGATAAATATCTTCCCCTCACCACAAGGCCCTAATTACACAAGGGCACATCCGGGGTCCAGTCTGCAGCCTTGCTGAGGTTCAGAAGAGTCAGAGAGGGCAGGGTGTGGCTATGGTTGGGATAAAGGAGAAGGAAACTTTGGAGTGTCCAGGCATGCTGCCCCCTCTTTTCAGTCCTCAGGCAACCGCCAAGCCAGAGAAGTCCAGTGGTCCTAGACCGTAGCTTTAGAATGAGCCAACCCTGAAGGTCGAGCAACAAAAGCCTCCTTCTTCCCTCTGCCCCCAAAAGAGCCCACCCCCATGTGCCAGTAGAGAACTCCTCAGGAAACTGAAAAGGAGAGAAAAGGCTGGAAAGGGCAAATATGTCTTTCGGAGGGCAGCCCCTTACTAACCCCCTAAGCAACACCAAACAATGTTTGCACAGTTTTCCAAAGAGCTAAAGAGCCTCTAAGGCTCTAAAGTAGAATTCTCATTTCCCGGATGATTCCCAATTTTAATTGTAATCTGCATCCCAGAGAACCAGAATGCATCCTTCTTTGAGAAATGGTGCCCCAAAGTCCCAGGCTAGTTCCAAGCTGACAGAAGCTTCCCTAGGTTGCTCATTAAAAGCACTTTCAGCTTTTCCATTCATTAACTTCCAAGGACAGCTGAGTCTCTCCAGCCTTCTGCAATTAGATATAGTACCTAGTGACCAGCTGTTGTCCCCTGCTGCCTTGCAAAGTGAAAGGGTGGTCATTCCAGGCAATTACATCATAGATTGTCTGCAGTTCTTCCACGGGGAAAGGGCTCCTTTGTCCGCATGTGGCTCACAACTCTGACCTCTGTCTTATCTCCCCTGGGCATCGCTGAGGGGCTGGGGCGGGGCAGGGGAGGGATGTGGAAGAAGTCCAGCCCTGCCGGCCACACCCAGATTGCTGGTGCATCGCCGTGTTGTCCTGGTGTTCGCAGGGACGTCGGGCGGCAGCAGAGTCGCGCAGAGGATTCCCGAGCATGGATGCGGGTGCTGGAGAGCAGGTTCCCATGTTCGCAGCCTGGGACCATGGTGACGGTAACTGGACCGAGGACATGCGGCGTGTCATCATGAGCGAGAGCGAGGAAGAGGGGCTGCTCTTCAGCGCTATCATCCTTGCTCTGACGGAGGTCGTGGGGCTGCTGGGGCTGGCTGGCAACGGCATCGTTCTGTGGCTCCTGAGCAGCCGCATCCATCGGAATAACTTCTCCATCTACCTCCTCGACTTGGCCAGCGCCGACTTCCTCTTCCTTTGCTGCCACTCGGTGATCGTCATTCCCGAAACTCTCCAGCGTCACTTCAGCTTCCCCCATTACGTCTATGACAGCCTACTGGCCCTGAGGTTCTTCTTCTACACGGTGGGCCTGAGCCTGCTGGCGGCCATCAGCACCGAGCAGTGTGCCGCCACGCTCTGGCCCTCGTGCTACGGCCGCCGCCGGCCCCCCCACACGTCGGCCGTCGTGTGCGCCCTGCTCTGGGCCCTCTGCCTCGTGCTGCACTTCCTGTCCTACGGGACCTGCGGGGAGCTGTCTGGGGGCGACGTGGGGACCGTGTGCAGCCAGATTGGCTTGGCCCGAGTGGCCTTGCTCTTCCTCCTCTTGACCACAATGTGCGTGTCCAGTCTGATCCTGCTCGTCAGAGTGGAGTGTGGCTCCCAGCGCCGCTGGCCCCAGAAATTCTACCTGATTATTCTGTTCACCGTCCTCACGTTTCTCTTCTGTGGCCTTCCCTTTGGCATCTACAGGCTCTCCCTAAATTGGCTGGACATCCCTGCCTACTACTACTGCCTCAGTATTCTAATGGCCTGTGTGAATGGCTCAGCCAAGCCACTCATCTACTTCTGCGTGGGCAGCCTCAGGCAACGCAGATTCAGGGGGCCCTTCAAGGCCGTTCTCCTGAAGGCCCTGGGGGATGAGGAAGAGCTGGGGGAGGGAGGAGAGATGCTAGACGCAGGACCCGTGGAGATATAGGCCTCAGCCCATGGGGCGCCCCTCGGGATACCCGCTTCATTTCCCTCAGCCCAGATCCAGCTGCAGCCACTCCCCTGCCCCTGCCAATGAGACAGGATGCTACCCTGCCTTGGTTCCCAGAATCTTTTCTTCTGGGGTATAAACACCCACAAGCCTAGGGTCCCAGGATTTCCTGGAGCAGCCAGGGCCTGGACTGGTTTATTGCATATAGAGGCTTTAATTCAGTATAATCCTCCTGCCCCTGGGATAGGTAGAGGGGAAGGTGAGGCTTCCCCATCTACCATGAGAATCCAAATTCATTCCTCACTAGCTCTGGGTGCCTGAAACCACAGTGAAGTGTAGAGGTTGCTGAAAGCATTTGAACTCCTTCATCAGGAGAAACAACTGACCTGAGCACCTAGTTATCGGGAATCACTATCCTCAGACACCTGCACTCCCAGGGGCTTCTCTAGCCCATACTCAGGTCCAAGTGAGTTCCTGGCACCTACCTCTCTAGACTCTGAGATATCTGTCCCCTCCTCCTCAGCCCTGCCATGAGGCAGTGTCCAGGGAGTTTCACTCCCTGGGTCCTGATAGTCAGAAGGCCAGTGTCTCTTCCCACAATCTTTCCTGTCCCCCAGGGCTGAGAAGCTGTGTTGTTCCAGTCCTGTGTAGACAAGCTCACCACAGACATGTGCTCCTTGTATCCTCCCATCCCCATCCCAACCCATCAAGCTACAATTGCCCAGGAGTTAGTGGGTGGGATTTCTATATTACAAGTTCACATGCATGGCCTCTCACTGAGGACCAGAAAACTGGTCACAAAATTTAGATGACTCATTAAAAAATCTCGCCGCAAAGGGGTGTGAGAGCAATCTCATCGAGAAGGTGATGGTTGTCAGGATGGATCGATCATCAGGCAGGTTCTGGAGCCACTGTGATAGCTAGTCTAAAGCACAAAGATTGAAAGGTGAAGAAAGAAAGAATTGAGAGCACACTCAACCTCCGAGGGCAGCTGGTCAAGCTGGTCCCTAAAGAGACATCCCCCCTCCCTCTTCCAACCACTTGGCCAGCCAGACTTTGCTTCCGGAGTCGGTGGTAAGATCACCACCTCCCTTAGCTCTTCTTATGGGGACTTCCTTGCATCAAGGCCAGACTTGATGCTCTTTAACTTGGGATCAGAGATGTAGAGCTGGAAGGGACCTGTGAGGCCAGCTAGTGCTAAAGGAAACTGAGGCTCCAAAAGCCTGACAATAGTCAAGAAGCATCTATTAAGAGCTTACAGTGAACCAGGCACTCAGGGGATTTCCCCACCATCCCACTACTCACTAAGTAGTGTCAGAAGCATTTACCACAGTTTTCTAACTCTCTACCCACAATGCAAAGCTGCCTAACTCTGCCCTGGAGGGGGAAGGGGGAAGCAGAAAAGACTAATTCTTCCCCTGGACTGCCCTTTGAATACAAGGGTAGGGGCATGGTGGGAGTAGGGGAAGGAAAAAAATAGGTAGGGATAAAGGCTCTCACCAGGTCTCAGTCCTCAGAGTGGGAAGGATATAAACCAGTGTGGGCCTGGACGGGGTGGAGAAAGGTCGTCAGATATGAGTCTTAAGATCCCAGTCCTAAGATCCCAGAGGAGGAATGAGAACCAGTGATGTCCCTTCCAAAGATTGCCCCTGGATTTGACCTGTCCAGGTTCAGCTAAGTTCTTGTTACTGCTAGTCAGTGGTGGAGCGCCGGGGTTCTTCATCCCCTCCACACCAAGGTAGTTCACTGACTTTAGAGGGAGGGGACAAGAACCATTTTTCTATCTCTGTTGCTACAAACAGGTGCTAAGAATTGACTGGCAAGGCCCTTTGATCCTACACATGGGAATTTCTAGCATGGGACATGAAAGTTTCTAGAAAATGGCAGCAGGAAGAGATGGGACCAGAGTAGAGGCAGCCTGCCAAAAATGAGGCCCATATGTCTCAGGCCAAAGAAATTAAAAGATGTTTTTGGACTATCACAGTTCCTTTACCCAAATCACTGATAAGTTTTTAAATGACACAGGGTCATGCAGACACCTGAGACACTCCACTGGAGACCTCTATGCAAGTGAAAATGCCTCTTGAGTCTGGCCATTCAACCAGTCCTGAATCCACCTAATTGTGTAATGCCTAACTCATAACCTTTCTTCATTTCCATAAGAAGAGCATGAGAGACTTAGTCAAGCACTTTGCTCAAACTTAAGTTATCCATATCTGCAGCATTGCCATGAACTATCTGCCTAGTTACCCTGTTAAAAAAAAAATAAAATAAAAGGTTATTTTGGCATGGTCAATGCTTTATTAAGCCATGCTGGCCATTTACAATTTCTCCTCCTTTCCTAGTTGTCCACTGACCCTCTTCTTAACTCTCCACTCTAGAATATTGCCAGGACTAGCATTCACAGGTAAGGCTTCTGGTCAGCAGGATCCACCCTCTATCCTCTTTTGAAATGTACCAATTTGTCCTTTCCTAGTCTTGAAATCCTGTCCTAGTGGCTGTCATGCCCCCTCTGCCTCTTCTCTAGATTCAACCTCCCTCATTTCTTTACTCAGCCATGCTACATAGGACATCATCTCTAGGACCTTCACCCTCTTCTGGCTGTTCTGTAGCTTACCAAGGCTCTTCTGAAAATGGGGTCCCAGAGATGACCACAATATACCAGATGTGATCTGACAAGAGGAGAAGAGGGACATCCTCACCCCTCCCTCCCTTGGCATTTTAGACAGCATGCTTCAATCTGCAGAGTTTCCAAAGACATCACAGAAATTCTTAGGTATATTTACAAGCAAGTCTTGCTCTATGGCCCTGTGAGCTAGCTAATGATTTCATAATTGTGACATCATTAGTGGGAAGAAAGAGTGACTGCAGAAATTGGCTCATTCCTTTTGTATTTGTCCCAGATCTTTTACATATATGATCTCATTTGGAGCCACCGCCTTCCCTGGGACAAAACTAAAGAGTGTGGGGGACCTAGGAGGTAAACTTGGGATCACAGGCTTAGGTCACTGGATGCTTCCTACAAGCAGATATTACTAATCTGTTTATTTATTAAAGAGAATTGAACAGTTCTGCTTTGTGTGCCCCACAGCACACACTCTGGTCTGACACAGTCAGATCTCCACACTCTAAAATAAGACTTTTCCTATCACAGATAAAAACCTCTGCTCTTCCCAGGGAAGAAGATATCCACAACATCCCCTGGAGGAAGGGTCCCAGGTGGTTGGGGACCCCCAGGAGCTCGTACTATCAGAAAGATACATAATGATCGCAACATATGCATGTATCTATATGTGTGCATGTGTACATATGCATGCCTATACATATCTACACTGTATATGCCCCCATACACTGAGAAATAGACACACGGTCCAATGGAGGAGCAGCACCAGGTGGGGTTGACGGGTTCTTGATGCTGGATCCATGCCAGGGCAGCTTCCCAGATGGAAGGGTAGCAATCAGCTTCAGTCCATAGGCTGGAGGCTCCTCAGAGGGCTGACTATGGAATGGACCAAATGCTGTCCCCCAGGAGCCCCCCGTTGGAGATTCACTTCAACAAGGACCACAGCTTCTCAGATCTCCAGCTAGAAGGGATCTTGGAAGTTCTCTCATCCAACCCACTTCATTTTCCCACTGAGGAAACTGAGGTACAGAGAAGTTAAATTATTTGCCCAAGGTCTCACAGGTAATAATCATAATAGCATCAGAGACAATGTTTGAATATAGGTCCTAGCATTGCAAAGCCAGCTGCAAAATCTTACACTTTCTCTGCCCACCACATCGATTGTCTATGTTCTCACCACCATTCCCATTCAGGCCCTCATCTATTCTCCTCTGTCTGCTGCTGTGGCCTCCTACTGGTCTCCCTACCTCAAATCTCTCCCCATCCCATTCCATCCTCCACAAAACAGTCAAAGTGTTTTTCTTAAAGAGTGAATCTGATGACAGGGTTCCTGTGCTGAATGGCTCGTTATCATTTCTTGGATCAAAGGGAAAACATTCCTCAGTCAGGCACTTAAAGCTTTTCCCTATCTGCCCCTTCACAGCTTTCCAGTCTTCCAACACTTTCTAACACCCACTTATTCTACCCTCCAGCCACATTAGCCTAACTTGCTGGTCTTAACACACAATGCTCCATCACCCATCTACTTGACTTTCAACTGAATGTCCCCCATGCCTGGAAGGCCCTTCCTCACCTCCGCCTCTGGGCACCTCTGGTCTCCTTGAATACTCAACTCATGCAATACCCAGAAAGCCTCTCCTGATTCCTCCTTTCCCTCCCGAAAGTAGTGTCTTCCCTCCTAAAATCACCTTACATTCAATTTGCATGTGCTACATATATACTTATCAAACAACAGCTGTTGGGTCCAGGGGCTGGAATGCTATACCCTCTCATTCTCCATTATGTGGATCCCTCGGCTCTGAAATCACAAACACGGGCATGGGCTTAGTTGTAGGGGAGCCCGATCTCCACAGGAAAATGTCAGCTTCTCTTGTTTCATGGACTCATTGAACTCCCATCTTAGTGCACCCAGAGAAATTACTTAAATCTTAGATTTGGCTCGTGGCTAGGGTGTCCTCAAAAGAAGGGGCAAAAGGGAATGAACAACATAAGCCAGGTAAAGAATGGCTTTACTAAGAAGCATAGAAGAGAATAGTGACTATGACCCCCCTAAATCCAAGGCACATTCTCCCCCAAATACATACAGCGTGAGCAAGAAAAGCAAGCCCATACCAAGAGTTCACTGAGTAAGGAGCACACCCAGGGGATATCCACGGCCAGCCAACTTGCCCTTCTGTCACTGCAGGCACCCGATGTCTTTACTAGTCTTGGGGTGTTTTCACACTACGCAATTGGTAAATAAGTATTTATTAAGCACCTACTGTGTGGTAGGCACTGCACCTACCCTGGGGATACAAAGAAAAGGAAAAGATGGCCCCTGCCCTTGTGGCTCACAATCTAACAGGAGGCAAAGTGCAACCTACTATGGACAAACAAACTGTGCATCCCAAAACTGGGGAGCTTATTTTTTCAAAGCCATCAGGAGCGTGACCGTTCGTTGACAGACGATGGCCAACAACTTCTCTCAGTCCACCAAAGAGAACTTCTTCACCCCTCATAAACGGCTTACAGAGGACAGACATGTCTTCAAATCCACTTCATTTAACACAGAAATACTTTACCAAAGTGTTGCAAAGGTACCAGAGTGCCTTTCTTTCCCTGCTTCAATTTCATCTACTAGACCGGGGGGGGGGGGGGGGAATCAACTGACCTCAGTGCTGTAACCAGCTCCCTTCCCTAACAAGTCTATTCACAGCTGCCCCCACTGCTGCCCAGGCTTTCCTTCATTGGCTCCGAGGACACAGCCCCAAGACCTCCATTGATGAGCAACCTTCCATTGGAACTGAACTCAGTCATGGAGGAGCAGAGAGGAAGCCTAAAGCCAGATCTGTTGGATGCATCCTCACTACTTAGAGCCCCTCTGATTGAAGAGAATCCAATCGACCTTATAATTGATTCTGTGGTGCTGTTACCTATCCAGCCTCCTCCCTATGGCCTACACAAGACACCTGGAGGATACAGCCATACATGCTGTACCCAGACAGCATCAGGCTGTGATCCTTTGCCCCTGAAGCCAGGGCTAATGGTGCACAACCTACCCAAGGCATCTGAGATAATGGGATAAGCCTGTCCTGGAAGGTTCTTTGACATGACCCGCTCTGAGGAAGTTTGGGAATCACTGGGGGGGGGGGGGGAAGAGACCAGGGGACGAAATGCCAATCTCTCAATTATTGCCACCTGGACAGCCCACCTGCTTGCACCTGACAATAGCAATGAAGAGCCCGGAGGGGTCAGCCCAAGGGCCTTGGAGCCTTCAGAGTCTTATCCTGGCTCCCTATTTCCACCCAGATAAAATGACAGGGACAGAATCTAGTCTTCAATGAGTACAAACCCTGGGTAAAAGAGGCCAGCTAAGCAGAGTGAGACTGCCCAGGAAGCTCTGAGCCACAGGGCTTCAAAAGCACCAGAAGGGACCAAACTCTTGCCAACACTGCAGTTGACCATGGCTGCTGCTGGTCCTGACCCTCAAGCCCAGCCTCCTTGTGGCTTCCTCGTGGCCTTCAAGTCCCCTCCTCTGGTCCACCAAGACTTGCAGCTACCTGGCAGCCTGCACAAACCCCACCCCCAGCTCCCCAGCTCCTATCCTTGCCCTTGGCTCTTCAGTTCCAACCCCACCCTCTGTTTTCCAGAGAAATGACCCAGACACCCCTCCTCATGACCCAGCCTCAACCCTCTGTGAGATTCACTTTGCAAACCTGAGCTCAGGGCTGGGGGTTTAACAAGAATACAGTGGTCCCTAGAGAGGTAGGGGCAAGAAGCTCTTGGCTCCTGGTCAGAGGGTCTCCCTGAGACGGTCAGCTCATGTCTGGGATCCAAAGCCTGGTTTTGCCAGGTACAGGGACCAGCCTGAGGGCTTTGCCCATCCATGGGTCAGGAAGGTGTCAGTTTCTAGCAGGGGAATGTTCAGCATAAACAGGGGCGTTACTGCTGAGGGTGCCAAACAATTCCTGGAAGCCCTCGAGTGACTTCTGATCTTTCTCCTCAGACATCTCCATGAGCTCTCTTTTCTACCCTCGAGCACAAAGCACACCCTGGGATCTGAAATCCTCTTGCTTCATGACCCTCAGACCTTAGGGCTAGAGTGATTGCGACACACTCCTTGAGACTGCTCTAGGAGTGTCTAGCCAGGCCAGGGAGAGTCCTGCCTAGGCTGAACCCTCTGCATCCTGTTCTATTTTCTAGTTCTGCCTCGACCCCGACCCTGAAAGGACTACAATACATACATATGTGTGTGAGTATGTGAGTGTGTGTGTGTATGTGTGTGTGTGTGTGCATGTAGACCATACACAAGCAGAGACCAAGCACCATACCTACGTAAACCTAAACCAGCTATTAGGGAGTGGGGCTAGGAGGGCTTACTTATTCCCAGCAGTACATGAAATCAGGTAATGTCTGAAACACTTTACAAATCTTAAAGCTGAATAATTATGAGCTGTTAATATCAATCATTATGTCAGGGAGGCTGCCATGGCTCATGCCACTGGTAGTCTTTTCTTTCTTCTCAAAGCTGCCTCCAGAGCCCAGGCTACCTTCTCTTCCACATCATCCACAAGAAAATCCATGATTCTTTGGGGACAGAAACAGTCCAACCTCATCTAACGGGTATGAGGAGAAAGTGAAACTGGCCAAAGCTGTCCTTCCAT